TGGAGGCCATATCTGCTTGGGCAAATATTTCATGCCGAAATCGATCACAACCCGCTGGAGTTGATTGGGACCACCAGAGTTCATCGCGGAAACCTCGCGCGCTGGGCACTCCGATTGCAAGAGTACGACTTCGCAATCCAGCACGTGCCAGGGAAGGAGAACCATTTGGTTGATTGGCTGTCAAGATCAGAGGCTGAAATGAGGGCCCAAGGATCATGATTGGAGCCAATGGCCTCGTCGTCGAACTGGATCCCGGAAGGTTGGTGCAACTCCAACGCCAGGATCCTGTGCCACGAAAGGTTGCAGCCGCCTTGTTGGATGGAAGGAACATTGAGATCGTAGAGGGGGACAAGGAATTGGAAGCGTTCCAGAGTCACTTTGATCGGCTGAGGCTGAATGAATCTGACATCATTTCTTCGAACTCTACTTGTTCGGATGGTGTTCTGCCCATGATACCTCGCGTCTTGAGACTGAATCATATTGGCGAATGTCATGAGATGCCACATACAGGGTACACCAAGACAGGAGCAACTTATCCCATGGAACCCATTCCTGTCTCAGAAATCGGCGAGTTGTGGTCAGTTTAAGTCATGGGCCACATGCCGATGACAACCAGCGTATATCAATACATCGTGATAATGACAGAATACCTGTCGCGGTGGATCGAGGAGGCAGCCGTGCCTAATCAACGGGTGACGGCGATCAACGGTGTGGTAATGCATCGCATCGTGGCCAACCATGGGCTACCGAAAACGATCCTAGCCGATCAGAGGCCTTGCTCCGTGAGAGGAGCGTTCAGTAATTGCTTGTAGAAGCCGGGTATCAGACGGCTAGGGAAGGCACCATACTATACTAACCCAACGATCAAGGAGATTCTGGTGGAAAATGGTGACTGAGGAATGAACTTGCGAATGGTGTTGCTAGCTCATGTGCTTCCAAACAGTCAACCAGAGGCAAGTCTCCGTTTATGCTGATGTACGGTCGACATCCGCGCCTTCCGGTTGATCAGGAATTTGGGCTGTGGCCAGCAACTCTCTCGTCTCCGGAAGAGCTAGATGAAGAAATTAGAGCTTGAGAAATCTTGAACGCGGTT